ATTACATTCACAATGTGCAATTGAATAGCCTTTGGATTTCTTAGGCCTTTCCGGACGGATAATGAGTTGTATCGGATTGTGTTATGTTTTAATAAAAGTCTCTACGTGATAGAAGACTATTTTAATTTTTATTTCCTACAATACTACATTGTGAGGGAATTATATGTTTGTAATATCTCGAAATATTGGTCCCAGACCAACCGTGTGGTATATCGATCTTCCTGTCTTGCTTAGCTGAGTCGAAACGAGCGTTAAGTGTCTGCCCGTCCATTTGTGCCTCCGTCTTTCTGTTTATTTTAATTTGTAACTACCTTGCAGGTCTGATTCTAACGAAGATGATGGCAAAATATGTAGGGGTTGGAATGAACTGAAAACTTAAAGTTTTCCTGATTTTGCAGCAGCTCTTTTGTTGGCAATTATAGACCAACCGACGTTGAATTTAATACCCTCCACCATGCATAGTATGGATAGGATATTATGTTCGTCATTCCGTTTGTAACTCATCGAAATAATAATTTTAGACCTAACAAAGTATTTAGCCCTGTCCGTCCGTCGGTCTGTTGTAATCACGCTAGAGTCAAAACGAATTAAGATGGGAAGCTAACATTCCGCACAGATCAATCTTTTGTGTGCAGACAGGTCAAGTTCGAAAATGGGCTATATCGGTCCACGATATCGTATGTCCCCCATATAACGGCACCTCCCTATCTTCGGTATTTTGATGATTGTAGCCAAAATTTTCAATGGAATTGTCTAAAAATCCACATCAGGATTTGCTTCTGAGTCCACGATATCGTATTTCCCCCATATAACGGTACCTTCCGTTATTCAGTATTTTCATGATTTTATTTCTCTCTCACAAATAAATAAAAAATTTAAAATTTCATTTGAGAGTCTGTGACAGTTTAGCCATGTTAGTCGGTCGCACGATCTTGCACATGTACCATATACAGAAAACATTGATATCGAAAATAACAAGGCCTTAACAAGGCAAAACTCAAAAATTAAAAGTCAGCCGAGCCTGGCAGTGGGATTTCAACCGCGGACCTCGGTGCGCAGCCGACTAGAAGTTTCCATCTCTACGTTCAGAGCCATTAACCCGTCTTCATAAAGCAGCACTAAAACAAGTGTATGCATTGGAAGCAATGTAGTTGTTGCGGACAAAAAATCCACCAAACTTTGCTGTGAAAAGGTCTGCTAATAGAACTTGAGTCGAACTTGGAGAGTTTCTAGTGTTTAATTCGCATATGCTAATTCGCAATAAGTTCGAAATATATACTACTTTCCAGAGAACGGCCCTTGTAAGCCATCATCCACACCAAATATGCCTGATGAGCCGCTTAACCAACGGCGGAACGCGTCGCATAGTGGTGAGTGTGTGATAGTGTCTATCTGGCTTTCCTTTTCACAGCAAATTTCAGATCATGAAGCTCGTCTCGAAAGAGAAACAAACACGAAAATAAATTTTACTGAATGAAAGCGATAAATGTCGGAAATAGCATCAAATTTTAGAATGAATTAACATTTGTTCGAATTGGTCACCTTTGGCACGAATTATGGCCTTTAAACAGCCAATAAACACCGACACACGTTGCCCGAATGTTGCTCTGCGGTATTTTTGCCCATTCCCGGCGAAGCACTTGCTTGAAGTAATCGACTCTTTGGTATTTTTTGGTGCCAACCTTGCTTTCCAAAATACTCCAGACACAATAGTCCAACGGATTGGTATCCGGAGATTTTGGGGGACATTGTGCGCTGGAAATGAAGCGAGGAACCTCATTTTGGGTGGCACGTGATGAGTGCGATGGTACTGAATCCTGTTGGAATGTGCAAGGACTGCGGCCAAAATGTTTGCGTGTCCGAGGCTTTAATACACCCTCCCGAATATTTTCGCGATAATAATCGGCATTTATTCTGATACCACGGTCGATAATACGAGCGATGAGCGCCCATCGGCTGTTATGGTGGTCCACACCATCACCATGGCCCGCGCTTGAGTTCTGGTAGCCAACCGAAGGTGCAGCTTTCCAGCTGACCTCTTTGGTAAGTAAATACCATCAGTTTGTTTGTTTACAAACTGCTGGACAACGAATGTTTTCACATCGGAGAAAACCAAATTCGGCAGTTTACCACTTTCGACCAAGCGAAGCAACTCTTTAGCTCTTTTGAGTCTATTTTCTTTCTGTTGCCGTGTAAGTTCTTGCACTTTTTGGAATTTCAATGGCTTTACCCCGAGCTCATTTTTCAATATTTGCCTAATGAAATATTGCGATATGTTCAGGTCATGAACCATTTTTCGATCACTGCGACGCGGGTTTCGATTAAGTCGCTTCTTTACTTTTCAAACCATTTCTGCTGATGTTGCTGTTTTCTTCCGACCACTTCCTTGAATTTCGGGCTACGATGGTACGAGACCCAAAAGATTTATTCACATTTTAATGCTGGAGTGTTCTAACGCTAGCGATTTGTGGTTTTCCAGCCAAATATAAAGAAATCACACTACCACGCTTGAATCACATCAGGAATAACTTTTTTTCTGGAAAATTCTCACCAAAATTCATTTGTACGTTTGTAAACGATATAATGAGCTGTAACAGCTGTCGAACGAGTGGCTTGGAAATGTCAGCATTCTGAAGTTGGTTGAAGTTTTTTCATCTCATCCTGTATATATTAAACAAATATTTATTGGAGCAATAGATAACCCGGACCGGGTTTCACCAAATGGAAAAAATTCGATTGAATAACAAAAACTCTACACAATTTGGGCTGATATTACTTCTATGGTGAGCAATAACCGTAAAATCGGACGAGGATGTAGATCGAAGCTATATAAAAATCTGAACCGATCTCGATAAAATTTGGCAGAGGTATTTTCGAGCTGTATCAAATATCGTGAGGGACTTAAACACCAAATTGGATGAAACATATATATGGGAGCTATAGCTATAACTGAACCGATTTTCTCTTAATTTCCAAATTTGACTAATGTTAAATTTCTTCAATCCCAATATGTCTACTAACACAAGATCTGATGTGAAGACGGAATATATCGGACTACTTCGTCTGGCACCTACTCCACAAAGGGTCAAAATTTAGAATAATTTTAACATAAAATCGTGAATTAGGGTTAGATTGTCTCCAGATTCCAAATATTCCAATATTTTTATTAATACAAGATCTGGTGTAAAGGCCACAATGGGTTTTAATAAATGTATCTCTCATAAAATACGAAATAAATATCATATCATATCTTTAAAATTTACATATCCCAAGATTTCTATCAGCACAAAACTAGGTGTGAAGATGGAAAACATCGAACCACTCCTTCTCATACCTAACCCACAACGGGTCAAAATGTTGAATAAGTATATCTCTCATAACATGCGACATATGCGTCAAATTCTCTTCAAATTTCATGGATTCCAATATTTTTACGAACACAAGTTCCGGTATGAAAATGATAGACAGGCCGATATCTATAATTTTCTGGTATCTCTCTCAGCTCTTTCTCTCATTTTTTGAAGGTTCCACGATTTCAGTTTGACTAAACATTACCATAGACAAATGAAGGTATAGACTAAAAAGTTTTAAAATGTACCCCTTCCGGCAGATGTCACTATGGTTGATCTTGGGCCAGTTAAGTCACTCAGGGCTAGTGAAGTCACTCGACTTCGAAAACAATTTATTCATTTTTTTGCTATTTCAGTTCCATATTTTTATATTTTACGACATATTTGGATAATGTAAAAGTAAAAAAGTCACTGTTTTGTTTTTAATTGATAAATAATAAATAATCATAAAAATATTCAAAATTTTGTATTTTGAGAGAATTGAGTGATTCTACTGAACCTCTCTCACAGCATGAACGACATCTATTGAAGCACTTTTTTCGAAGATAACAGATGAGACAACTTTTTAGTCTATACCTAATTTGTCTATGACATTACGATGTGTCAATTTTGAACCACATTAAACCGAGCAGACGGACACGGCGAGATCTATTTCAAATGTCATGAAACGAATTTTCTTCAAAGAGACATGAGATCTTAAAATTTTTACTTTGACTTGACACATTTTGGACCTATCAAAAAGGTAAAAAGCCTTTGTAACAATAAATTTCAGGATAGAAAATATGTATAATGGGGTTTTTGGCCAATGCTACTTTGCTACTTACTATATCATCCAGATTGAACGTACCTTGAAAATTACTTTATTGTAACGTATTCGTGAAAAACTTTTCAAGAAGCATTAATTTTTTCTGAACTTAAGGGGCTTTCAAATCCCAGAAAAACATTTTCAATACAACAAGGGCCTCTTTGAAACCGAATCCTGTATAATTTCACCTAGAACGGCATAACAAAATCAAATTAGTTTCCAATTAGAAATGTTTGCCAATCAATCTCTTCACATTTCCAACAACACCCACAAATATTTACATTTTTCTTTTGTTTATTAAATTTCATGGTAATGCTTTAATCAACTCAGTACGGCGATGATGATGAAACAAAAAACAAATGTGATTGAGTGTTTGGGAGTGTGGGTGTGAAGAAATGAGAGGTGAGTTGCCAATGTAAAAGGCATCCATCTATTATTGTTTGTGAGTGAGTGTGTGTGTGTGTAAGTGCGTACATGTGGCACACAAAGGGACATGTTGGCAAGCCAGGCATGCTGTTTGTTTGCTACTCACATTGATTGTGTCAACAGCATCCTCTCTGGCTCATCATCAAAATGGGAGGGAATCTCTCTCACACTCTCACAACCAACATACTCCCACTCATTTGAGTTTGCCGTTAATTGTGTGTGATATTATAATGAACGCCCTGAGATGCGAATGGCGGGATGTTGTTTTTGTGGTGGCTACGTGTTTTTATTTTATTTTTTAATGAAATAATGTTGGATTTTTGTTAAATTTATTTCTTGTTCTTCTTTTTTTTCATATAAATTGCAATAACAATGTGTGTATGCTCGCGTATCTGTGTGTGTAAACTATGTAAAGACAGTTAAAAACAGTTCCATGTAGCGTGTTTTCTCTTCAATGGAATAATATATAGAAATGGTCAACAATGGAACGTGAAAAGGAAGCCTGATAGTTCTTTGTCGGAACACACAACCAAAACACACACACATACACACTAATACACAAAGACACCGAGAGGCATACATTCATACACACGAACAGACCAACCAACCAACCAGCTAGGCATTGGCCCAGGCAGAGATATGAAGGCATGCCAACACCAGAACCAGCGTCCGGAAGGATATCAACACACACATACACACGGCCGACAGACATGAAGACATGCAGAGAATGTGCTAAAACATGAACAAGTTTCCTGTGAAAAAAACAGCAACAACAAATATAACTAAAACTACAACAACGGGAGCTCTAGGCTCACACAATGAAAAGAGAAAAGGAGAGAGAGAGAGGAAAATGTGAACATTTTATTAAAAATAATCTAAAATAAAACGGAAACTAAGCAAAGAATTAAAATAGCCATAACCAACAACAAAATAAACAAACAAAAAAATTGAAAAAGGAAACAATAATTGAAAATTACGAATAAAGTTAATTTTGAAATTAAAAACAACAACAACAACTGTTCTAACATCAACTGAAAATAAAATTAAAAATAAAAACAAAAAAGAAAAGTGTGTCGGAAAAATAAACTTCCCAGTGATAGAAAAGTGTGCAGAAACGGCAAACATCAACGGTGTCTGTCATCAGCAAACAACATTTCCTCTTAACAAAAATAATAACTAGAACACGCTGCAACAACAAGAAAAACAACAAATTTAACTGCAATAGTAATAACATCAACTCTGACGACAATTGCTCTTCCTCTTAGTTTTTTTTGGATCTAATTAGAACAACTTAAAAATAAATCCTCACATACACGTACTAACCCAACAGAAACATCTAAAAAAAGAAGCCCCAGAGAAGGGGGACGGGGGTGAGAAGAGAAACAGAGGAAGAGTATTAAAGGAGTAGATATTTTGCATTAGCATTAACCCCACATCCTTTGTAAGAGGCCTTAAGACCACACAAGAAACAGCAGCAGCAGCAGCAGAAGAAGAAGAGGACTAAAGGAAAGCACCACCACCACAAAAAGCAAAACAAAAAACGCTTTAATGTATCCTTAGTACTTAATACAGGTGAGTCCATGTTACTTTTTGCCTAATATGTTAGCTATGCCATATTACTTTTGGAGCAGCGGGTGGGCCCAAGGGGAGAAAGGAATTTATGTTAATGTCTTCCTTTTGTTTACTCTGCGGAGAGAATGGAAGAAGAAAAAAACCCTCCGGAAAGGGAAATCACCCATAAATAATGGGGGACGGGTATCTCGTCCATGTGTATGTGGATTCTTTGTTTGATGATATGCAATTAAGTGCCATTAAATATGCCGGTGAAACGTGTTCGCACACACACACACACATATACAGACACAGAGGATAATAATCAAGGATATTGAGTTTCTCAAAAGAATATTTTGAATATTAAAGAAAGACCAATATAATGATTAATATTAAGATATTAAGAAGCAATTTTGAATGGATATTGAAACCAGTTTTTTTTTTGGACCTTCAATATATGCGTTGTGTTTATACGAGTTTGAATGTATTCTTTTTTTATGAAAATTTATTTCCTCTTGCTGAATTTTTCCTTTGTTTTTCGATACACAAAAAGGTAAAAATGACAGACTGATTGCTTCAGATCCACCTAAAAGAAACAACTAGGGCTAGAATATTGAAATTTGTCATTAAGGTAGCTGGTGGTGAGTATAGGCCCATAAACGCAGTGCTTTCGGACATTCGTACAAAAAAGTAATAAAAAGAGAAAAAAAATTAGTTTGTTCTTCGACTAATTTTCTTTTAGTTTTAGTGTTCTTGGAAAGCACTAAAAAATTCTAAAATTGTGCGATTACTAAAATTCACTAAAAATCAATATTTTAGACCTCGAATCTTATAAATACGCAAGTGGAAATAACTACGACTGCGAAATATCAGTCGAAGAGGTATCTTTGGAAGTTGTACCAAAAAGTACTAAAAACTGCGCTGATGTACTAAAAACGGTTTCCGATTAAAATCATCACACAAGGTTTTGTCTTTTCTTTGGAAACTGTACTATAGTGGTACTACAAATACTAAATAGTTCATGGTTAGAGCTAGAATTCTGAAATTTGCTACTAAGCTTTGTCTATCTGAAAAAGAAAAAAAATCAGGGATTGTGATGTCGATGGATTCGGGTTGTAGACGATTTTTAGGTAATTGTTTGCAACATTTTATCCGGATTAACCCACATTTTAGGATTCATTGGTTAATCCGGATTTATTCAACCCAATTTACAATAAAAAAAAGAAATGAAAAATAACAATAACAAAATAACAAAAAGAAGCTAACTTCGGCCGGGCCGAACTTTTAATAAAATTGAAATTTTTCAAAAAAAAAAAAAAAAAAAAAAACCGAAAATTACCACTCAAATGAAAACCGTTATATGGGAACTATACGCTACATGGGGACCTTAATACGAAAATTTTTGTCATAGGCTGTAGTGCCCATTACGGACTTCAAATACGAAATTTGTTACAATTCCGGTAAATAATGACTCAAAACTCATGACAATACGGAGTACCGGAAGGTACCGATGACGTGGACAAGCACAGGCAATTTTCTGTCTTAGGTTGTAGTACCCATTAGGATCTTCCAGTAGGAAATTTGAAACAATTCCGGTGAGTAATGATACTGAAACCATCAAAATAACGAATGTCGGGAGGTACCGTTGGGGGCTATACGAAGACTTGGACCTGCATACAAAAATTTCTGTCATAGGCTGTAGTACCCATTAGGATCTTCCAGTAGAAAATTTGAAACAATTCCGCTGAATAATGTTGCTGAGATCATCAAAATACCGAATATCGGGAGGTACCGTTATATGGGAGCTATACGAAGACGTGGACCTGCATATAAAATTTTTTGTCTTAGGCTGTAGTACCCACAACGAACTTCAAATACCAAATTTGAAACAATTCCGGTGTATAATTTTGCTGAAATCATCATAATACCGAATATCGGGAGGTACCGTTGGGGGATTTACGAAGATTTGGACCTGCATACAAAATTTTTTTGACATAGGCTGTAGTACCCATTAGGATCTTCCAGTACGAAATTTGAAACAATTCCGGTGAATAATGTTGTTGAAATCATCAAAATACCGAATATCGGGAGGTACCGTTATATGGGAGCTATACGAAGACTTGGACCTGCATACAAAAATTTTTGGCATAGACTGTAGTACCCATTACGAATTTGAACATGAAAATACCCAATATCGGGGTATTTCGTATGGGGCTATATGAAAACGTGGACCGACATGGTCCATTTACGAACTTAACCTGGAGTAGATCATACCAACTAATAACTTTTTTCATTGTGGCTTTAGATCAGTTACAATTTGGAATCGGGGGGAACTAATATATATGGGCGTTATATCTAACTCTGAATCGATTTCCATCATATTTGACGAAGGCACTTTTTCCTTTCATACAAAATAACATGGCTATGGGGTGCATATGACTTCGAGAAGGCTTAAATAGATATAGATAGATATAGATGTATGGGAACTGAGTTTTACAAAATCGAAAATTTTTCTTGTATGTGCAAAAATCTATCCAATTTGGGTTGATATTAACCCTTTGGTGCGCAATAAACTTAAAATCGGATTAAGATATATATGGGAGATATATCCAATTTTAAAGCGATAATAATAAAATTTGGCAGAGGTATTTCTGGGCTGTATCTGATGCCTGTTCCCAAATATTATTGTTGTGGAGTGCATATTGCGAGTGTGAGGGACTTAAACGCCATAATCAGAAGCTATAGCTATATCTGAAGCGATTTTCAGCATATTTAAAGTACCTACTTCTTCTAAGCTGAATTTGATCGGATGTGCCAAAGGACATCCTATTTTTAGGAATATTACACATATGGCGCACAATAAAATTGAACTCGGACGAAAATATATGTATATCATCGATCAACTCATTTTTGTACCTTCCCTTAAAAGGGCGAAAACTCAGAATTTTCATAAGTCATGCGAAATGCAAAAAAATCCTCCGATTTTTCTGAAACATTATAATATTTCTAACGACCAATACTTTTTACTTGCTATGCAACATTTCGATTCAAATTTTTTTTTCGAATAGAAGGCTATGAAATAGTTTTTAAATCAAAATCAAAATATTTTTCACATTTCATTTAAAATTTTATAAAAGAAAATAACGTTTTAATTAACATTGAAAATTGGATTTTGAATTACCGGAATATACATAAATAATTTGCGTGCATATCATACGCAAGCGGTACAGATGATAGCAGATTTGAATTCATTACGGAAAGTTATAAAATTGCAAATTGAATGGGGAAATATTGAAGAAACAAAATGAGTTTGGGCTTGAGAATACATTCATTATTGTGGATTATGGATAAATGGAATAAATGAGAGAATCATGCCAAAACTGAGATGAAAGGTAAGAATAGTGAAAAAACGTTATTAAGAGATTTTTAGAAAATGTATCGAAGCATATATTTGTCAATATTTGATCAAGTGTCACTTTTTATAACCTACAACATTATGTGTTTGGGGTTATTAAAAATTTGATTGGTCCAAAAATTTTGTAAGACCTCGAAATATTGGTTTCCCACATAGGAAAGTATATATGGATTTTCCTATCCAGCCGAGAAGAGTCGATCTAGCTGTGTATGTCCGTCCGTCCGTCTGTCCATGTTAATTTGTAATCAAGCTACAGGTCGCAATTATGAACCGATCCTCACGAAATTGAAAATGGGGGTGGGTTATGGTCAGAATAGAACCCAATTGTTTTTGGAGATGATCGCACGGTATTTAGAGGATGAAATGGACCAAGAATAGAAAAATTATGTGTTTTTGCAGTTGCTCTATAAGCCACAATTATGAACCAATCGATGCGAAAATTTACATGGAGTTAGAGTTTAGGAGTGGGCAGAAACCTACCAATTTGGTCGGCCATCGGACGGTAAGTAGCGGGTAAAATAGACCCTAACTTGTATGTAAGAAAATATATATATAAAAGATTTGATCTTATGTATTATAAATAAAGAACCGCTGGGCCGATTTTCACAATTCGCATCAATTCGGAATGGTCTCTTGCCAGAAAACGATAAAATCTAAGAAAATCGCGGGAAAATATACCAATAAAAAAGTGAATATCTTTTGTCGAATTTTTTCAATTTTTGTAATATTTTTTATCGCATGCAATTTTTTCAATTGGACATACAATTTTGAATTGTAAATTTTCTAAATTTTTATACCCCCCAACACTACGTTATGAGGGTATTATATGCATATCTCAATTATCGTCCAATCCTCACGAAATTATGCATTGGGGTAGGGTTGGGGTCAGATTTAAAGCCTATTGTCCTTAAGATGTACACTTAGAGGTGCAAATGGACTAATAAAAATATATTTTTCTAATTTTGTAGTCGCTCTATAGGCCACAATTGAAACTAATCGACACGGAATTTCGCATGGGAAGAGAGTTAAGGGCAGGGAAGAAGTCTTGCATTTTGGATGTCCATTGGATTACATTTAGCTGTAAAATAGACCACAAATTTCACAACTTTTGCCAAATTATCCGGGCCACAAAACTAAGGGTAGTCTCTGGGCGGGGCTCTTAGACATTATTTCAAAAACGAAATCTTCCAAAATGGATTTGGATATAAGGGGACCACGATCATATTGTAGTGTTGTAGGGTATCACATGGTCGGCCCCGCACGTCTATAGCCTTTGCTTACTTGTTTTTTTGGTGTTTACCCGAGGGAGAGAAACGAAAGATACATCTCCACTTCTTTCCGTTCCTAACCCACAAATGATTAACATTTTCGAAGTTTATAACTCTCAAAATTAATACTGCACTTCTAAATATTTTTGTCAACATACATCCCATCATATATTAGATATATAGCAGCAGGAGTCCAAAGCCAAGTCCAATAGTTGTTTATCGTAACATTTGTTTTAAACTTTGGTCACGTGCTGAAGTTGTAAATAGCTACCATTCTTTCTGGTAATTATTCTAACAAAGAAAATGCGTGGAATTACCCTCTGGATGTCTTCAAACTT